AAGCAAATTTTCTGTTTTTCACTTTGAATGCGGAGAAGGCACCATTTGGGACCCCTCTCTTGATACTTGTAACTACGAGGAATCCGTATATCCCCCACGTAACTGTAATGCAACACAATCACAAGTGAACAATACCTCACAGACTACAACGACGGCGCAGACAACTACAACCGAATCAACTACCTCCATACAGTCCAGTAGTGAAACGACTAGTACACAATCCACGATAGCAGGAGCCCAAACTACAGATCAACAAACATCAACAAGTCAAACGAGTACTTCCACTACAACTCCAACTGATACCACTTCTACAACTATGACAACTACGGATACATCTTCCACAACTGAGCCTCCCACTGAAAGTACTTCTACCACAGTGAAACCAACTGATACCACTTCAACAAGTTCTGATCAAACAACAAGCCAACAATCTACTACCGATACGACTACAACTCAGAGTGATCAATCTACAACCACAACTGTAGATACATCTACAACTGATAACACTTCAAGTACATCTGAACAAACAACAATGACTGAACAAACTAGTACTACCACAGAGGCGACAACAAGTACGACTGAACAACAAACATCTACTACTCTTGAACAATCTTCAACTGAACAACCCACTACGCAAACAACTCTTAGTGCAACAGAACAAACTACCTCACAGGGATCTACTACAGAACAGCAAACAAGTACGGACTCAAGCACTGAAGTAACAAATACTACAACTTCTGAAGCAACGTCAACTAGTACTGAATCAACAACAGAAAACACTGAAGCAACTACAACACAAGGAAGTTCTACAGGCAAGGATTGCCCAGATACTGAAGATGATCAATATTTGTACGCTTGTCCAACATCGTTTAAGAGACATCCTAAGTATTGTAATCTTTTCTATCAATGTATAGAGAATAATGATAATCATGAACTGAAGATAGCAACATTCAATTGTCCAAATGGTACAATTTACGATGAAAGTAAAATTCAATGTGTCGAAGAAAGCAAAGCTTCGAAGAAATGTCAAGGCGCTATAGCTAAAAATCGAAGGATAAAACGGTTAAACCTCAATATCAAGGAAACGGTAAGTGTTAAGATAAGATAAAACTTTAAAATTTTACATAGAAATAAACTTCAATATAGTTTTCTTTTATTTTTTAGATTACTGTAAACGAAAACAAATATGGGTGTACTGGAGAAGGTCATTATCCATTTGAAAAGAATGAAGAATGTTCACCAGCCATATTGAAATGTGAAGTTTCTAAAAGAGGAAAATTACAAGGCTTTGTATATCGTTGCCCAGACAATTATGTGTATTGGTCAGTGAGTAGAAGATGCGAACCAATATTGAGGATGGCGTCATGTAAACATTCTTCTAATCAATGGATTGGGAGATCAGAAATTCCAATTGAGACGAAAAATATCGCATGATAGTAAGAAAATTAACTTTTGTATTTAAGTGAATGTAAAAAATATTATAAACACAGCGATAAATTGGAATAATGAACAAAATGCGCGTGGCAGTAGTCTGTACACTCAATACGTATTTTATACAAAATCTAGTCTGTTACTTGGTGACAATTGGATAAGAATGTGAAAAAGACGCACTTTCCTCTTAAAATTTGTCATGACTAGCTAGTAAGGATAATTCGACTTGTGATCAAGATATTGCAAATTACTTACATGAGAGCAATATTTTGAACACGATTAATTAGTTATATTTGTAAGTAGATACTTAGGTACTTTAAATAAAATAATGATTTAAGAAGATTGTCTTTATTTCATAAAAATAATAACATTAACAACAATATCTTCAAGAATATTTTAAAATAACTCTATAATAAAATTACATCGATACCCTTACAGGAAAAAAGAACTCCTTTACAAAAAATAGTTAATTGTGCAATAATATATTCAGAAAGCGTTTCTCCTTCAATATGATCAGCTACATTACTAAGCAATGAGGCCACAAATGCGTGGCAAGGCGTGTTTGAGGCTATAACATTCCCCTTTAAATCAATTGTCAAGTGAGTATTTGTGTCATGTTCACAGTTTTCTGTGTGATAATTTGAATTTAGATCCTGTTGTTTGTTATTTTCAAATGATACATGAATATCGTTTTCATGGGATGTCTGATAAATGGATTCATGTTCTGTTTTTGAACCATTACTCTTATCGTTTGGTTTCTCACTTCTTTTCGCTCTTATATCATCAGATACAAAACTATCTCTTTTAGGGAATAAAAATTCTAAAAACAAAGGAAGTAAACTTGGTCGAGTGTCATTGTTCAAGTTAATTTTTGATTCCATTTGTAATTGATGTTGATGATGCCCACCAATTTCTTTTTTGAAGCGATCACTGGCTTTGTTTTGTTGGATTGGTTTCGTTTTTTTGTTAGAAATCTCGTGTACGGTTTGTAATAGAAACAGGGGATCGGAGGCATTTTCATTTCTTAAAATAGTTTTGTCGTTAAGAGAAGGGACTAAGTTGACTCTATTTTCTTCTTCCAATAAATTGTATTGGGAATTGTTGTAAATTTTATCTCCAGCTTCCAAAGCTTCTATTATATCGCGAATATTATTAACTTTCTTTTTAGTGTGTATTCCTTGATGATTATTTGCATTTATTTTAATCTCAGATTTTTTGTTATCAATTAATTTGTACTTATTGAGTACATTTTGTATCTTTTCTAAGTAAATGGCGTTGGGCGTTTTTGGTGTGAGTATAATTGGGTTAAAAGCAACTCCACCTTTCTCCCAAATAGACAAGGCCCTTACAAAAAATTCAGTAAATTCTTCAGAGAGACTTTTATTAAGTTTTGGCAGAACTGGATTATCAATGTATTTATTTAATGCAACATAAGTTAAAATAAGGTTATTTTGAAAGATTACTTTACGGTTCATGTCGAAGGATTCATCTTTCCATAAAGACTCGAGAGCTAAGTCATTTCTACTTTGATCATTCATTCTGTCACTTTCTTTAATTGTATAATTTATTACAGCGACAAGGTGAAATTTAAATGTTTGATATTTTTTTGACATTATTTCCACATACGGTAATATTGTATTTAAATTGATTTCTTCATATTTGTTAGCGAAAATGTGCATGTATACATTGAGTTTGGTATCATCTATCACAGTATTCTCGAAAGCTTTGTAAGGTAGTCTAGGTTTTCCTATTTTAGTATAGGTAAGTGAAAGCATTGAGAAGGCAACTACACTGTTGTAAACAATTAAAACTATGATAGCAAACATGGCAATTCCCATCCACCAGTACTTCAGTGTTGACCACCATTGCTCTGAAATAAAAAGATAATGTTTTGATTGGATGGAAACTTTAAAAACGTCAGTTAAATCCTTTTCTAAAACTTCTTCTAACTTCATAATGTTACTTTTCTATTTTTCACTAAATCACTTTATTTTATCCTGAATTTTCATAAAATAATGGCCGCCATAAATTTTGACTCTCTCGCAATGAAATTAAGGCACTGTTCAATGATATTTACCTGGCCAGCTGGTCATAACCGCAACGGCCCCTTTCATCTGGGTCTTAGCTCGACCGCTGTATACGAGGGGGCGCATGCGTATATTTGCCCGAGGACTATAGCTTTGGCAGTTGAAGTCGTCGTCAGAGAAATCATCGCACAACAATGGATGCTGCTCCTGGTACATTTCACTCATGTCTGGGCCATTTGTGTTACTAAAAAAGAAAGTTAATTGACCTTTAACGCGAATTATAGAATGGATATTTCTGCAATAACAACCATAAACTAAACTAAAATTAGACGTTTTGTAACAATACTTACACTTCAAAACAGAAATAGAAGGACTTTCTTTTAATGTGACACTTTGAAATTAAAAAATATGCCAAGTGGCCTGTCAAATTTAAATGACATATTATTTTCTCTTAATATTTAAGGACAAATAGGTTTATTAGGGGTATATGTATAGACAGGAAGAAAGAAAAAAAAAACGAATTCAAAACACTACAATGCAACATTACGTAATTTCGTACAAAATACAATTGTAGTGGCTTGCAGATAATGGAATGGACACTGGCATAATAATCAATGTAAAATAATATATTACTTACCATAAAATATCCAAAAATGTTGGTGTCTACGTAATTCGATTCGTAATTCGTTCTGTTCTAAAACTTTATATGATATCTCAATAAAGAATATTTGGACACTATAATTTTTCTTCATCGATCAATAAGGCCTAAAATGTAATAAATAAGAGTATATTTCACTTAATAATGACCATTATTTGTACCATTAAAAGGTAGGAAATGTTAAGAAGATAAAAAACATACCGGTATATTACGTTAATGTAAACAGTCAAAAACTTGGTTATATTGAAATATATATTTTAATACTGCAAATGAACTCCGTATGCATGTATGACGCTTGTAATATCAAAACACACTCGCATAATGCACTAAGAGCAATAAGATGTATGAAGTTTTTGTTTGATTCGCAACGTTCGTACGTTTACACTTTCCACCATAATTTTGTTGATATAACAATTTATATGCTCACGTATTGAATTCAGGTAATGACGCTGTTACATTATTGTTATAATACATCTGAATCAGCGATACCTCAAGGTGAAATGGTTAATTATAAACAATTGTCATGTTTATGCATTGTTGCACTTATAGCACGTTTAACCTGGTTTAGATCCCTATGACTTCGTTTTTACCAAAGAAAACTATACTTGTACTATGTATATTGATAGATTACCATTTTAGATTAAAAAAATGTTTAAAACCTTTTTCAAAAACGATTTTAGATATACCTGCACATCTGTCGTGTTATTTATCCTTCCCTGCAACATCAAACATAAATAGTCTAACTAATGCAAAGTCGAAACGTCGGTGATCCAGTGGTTTGAGCAGTTGAGTTGTAAACAACAGGTCTTGGGTTGAATCCCACCATTTACCAACGTAATTTTTGATTTTTTCGAATTTCATGTTCTTACGGTGAAGGAAAACATCGTGATGCAACCTATACATATCGGCGAAGACCGACCAACCCACACTTGGCCAGCGTGGTTGAATAAGGCCTAGTCACCCCTTATCAGGGTATGCTCTGGGCTCTTCAGTGAGGACGTATAGTGAGCTTGTGATGATGAATGCAAAGTCCCTAGAGTCGGGGTTTACATTATTTTTTAATGTGCGGTAATAAATTAGTTCCAAATTCCGCAAAAAGACGAGAGTTCTTATTCTTATATTAGTGGTCAGACTATAACAATGTTGAATACATATACAACCTCTTTTCAAATAAAAATATATGAGCAAAAACTAAATTCATAAAACAATTTTTGAAATTCAAAATTTGAATAAAATTTTAGTCATGTAATAAGTTATTTACATTAAGACGTCAGATTGTTAAAATTACATCAGCGTTTATAATTCATAAATATCACAAGGTAAGGTCTAATTAATTTGATTGATAAAACATAAAGTAAATAAATAAATAAATAAAGTTATAGATAAACAAAACAATAAATCGCTGGATAAGCCACTAAAGTTTTCTTACATTCAATTATGTTTCAAAATGTTGAAATAATACACCAGCTTCAGTTATCCATTCTAACTGGTGACTATATTCAAAGAATTCTTTAATTGCATAACAGATTATCATAAAAATAATCCGTAATTTTACGATCTCCACTTCGAACCAGATTGGATATCGAATATAAAAAGTCATGAGTTAAATTTAAACTTGATAGCACTCGATGGGTGAGCATATTGGGACAAAAGACGGAGAACAGTACCCACTGCTAAAGATAGACAGTGGAGGAAGCGATGGAAGCAATCGAGGTCTACCAGCGCCCCCTTGTATTATCACGTCTGGCTGCCATACAACTCGTACGCCAAAGCAATCTTGGATGGATCGTTGGCCCGGTTAGAGAACAAAAATTATTATTCGTTAAAAAGTACATCGAAAATATCTAAAATTCTTAGTGCAAGTATAACTATTATCAAAATTATATAGTAACTTCATATCTTAATTCGGTCTATCTATCTTTATGTTATCTTATCTTTTATAAATAAAGTATGCTTTCATTTACAGAATTAATTTCGGCTTGCTGGATAACATTTATTTTAATTGGAATATCATTTCTTGCCTTTTATACCCTGGGCTTAAATGCATACCGAAGACAGCCATTAATCATAAATAAATGTAATGCATCGAAACTGACCAGTACCGTCACCTACCATCATATAGTACCACGTGGAAGTTACGTCTCATTTCTCGTATATTCAGACTATATTTCAAGCATAGCACAACAATATCCTTTACTTCACATTAATGTATTATTTCTAATGGATGATTCGTCGCAAACACCAATTCAAGGCTCGAGGCATACGAGATTGTATAATAAGCTAATTCAATCTACTAATAATATATTGGATAATTTCGACCAAAATAATAAAGAGATTAGAATAATCCAGAAAAAGTATCCGAATGTAAATGTTACGATTATGCCTCTAAGCAAATATATGGCTTCAACTCCTCATAGGTATAAGTGGAGAACGATCCCAATGAACTTCCTTAACTTTTACGTGAGAGTATTCACAGTGTGGCAATATGGTGGCGTAGCGATGGACCTCAGCACTTACAATGACATTTTTAACATGCACCACCATCCAGACAGAAGAATATCTGCAATATTAAGACAGCACAATGACGGAATTGAAAGTGAAAAGTACGTCAATGCGTTGAAGAAAATTAACGAAGAAGAGCAAAAAGAATTTTTCGCTATGTTTAATTTGTTGATCCATCATGTTTTGAACGAAACGTGTTCGTTTTTCAATCGGTCTTTATGGTATAATAATGAAGCAGTACCTGGTTTATCCCTCAACAAACACGCAATTCGTTCTCAGAGAAATAAACGTGATAGTCGAGTCACATATGAAGGTGAAATGGATTTGTCCAACATTGCACTTGACATTTCAACGACTGTGAAATCGAGTACCACTGAACTCGAAGAAAATGTAACAAACGCTTTTAACTCTATCAGTAATATTAATGCCAATGATACGGCAACTCCCACTTTTACTACTAGCACTGAACCTACCAGTGAAACATACAATACTGAGCAATCCACTAATTTTGATAATATTACTAAGCAATCCGTTACAGGTATAGACAAAGTCAATTTTACCAATACTCATGGTGAAATATTGCCAAATATAATATTGTACGATATATTAATACTAACAGATAGTAATCCAAACATGCCGTTCCAGTCAGATTTTACTAATCTACCGAAGCCAATCAATCAGTTTGAAATAAATGAAATTGTAACAGAAAATTTAAACATATACGACCATCAATTAACTTTACCAGTTCTAGTTATTAGCACGGATGGTACTTTTGTGGCAGCACCAACAAGACGCCATCCAATGCTAGCATATTTACTTTCGTTCGGATGTGAAAGGGTTAGCCCAATTTTGGCCATAAATAGAGCTATGATGTCCCAGTGTACAGGAATATTCAAAAACGATATGCATTGTGATAACATTTATGTTCTGTGAATTTTAAACGTATGTTTTTATATTTTATAATGTTCTTATCTAAGTTTATTAGTAATTGTACAATAGTGTTTTTGTCAAAATTATTATATAGTTACAATTGTATTTGGAAATATGTTAAATAAAGCGTTATAAACAAATTTATTTTGGTTTCAAATTGTGGAAGGAACTATCTATAGCTACATGTCTCTAGCAATGTAGCTTGGGTAAGAATAGGGAGAAAGTAGTGGAGTAGAAATATCTATTACTCGTGTGTAGAAGGTGTGCCGAGGGCATCGTTACTGACGGTACGTAGAAAGAGACGCGGTCGGTGTTAGGGGAAGGACTCATTGACAAACTCGCGCATCATATTCCTATACAACTCTTACGTACATTATGATTTTACCGTAGTGGGTAGTCGGAACATTGCTTGGAAACCACAGGTTTGTTGTTGTTCCAACCTTAACTCGCCTGGTTATGTTAATAACAGTTAATTATATCTACAATTAGTGCGAATCTTCACCACCGGGAACAATCGCGACCGTCAAAATGGCAAAAATAAAAGAAGTCCAAAATACCACTATGAAAGTTGGAGTTTTGAAGTCGACTCGAATTTTGATACATTATATCAAAGAATATTTCGGTATGTTGCATAATCTTATATCTTTTAAAAAGCGAAACTGTCAAATGTCACGTTGAATTTGCAGAAAGATGGGTAACCCTTGAATAACCTATATAACAAAATGCTTACCAAATATTAGACATGAGACAATGAAGTTACCTTTTAATGGCATATTAACGCCCATACTCAAGCCCAACTTGAAATGTTTCAATGAATTTTGTCAATATCCCACTTTTTGTATAAGCTTACCTTATACATACTTTTACGGAACAGTTGGTGTTGTGTAATATCTATTGTGTTATTTTGTAATTAGATTTTATTTTATAATTTGTCAAAACAATTCATTACAAGGCAAAGTTGTATTTCAGTTTATCAATGCCTGCCATTTGAGAAGGCATTTCGGAAAAAATCAAGAAGTTGGACAAGATTCGAATGTTCAAACGAACACTCTTGTAGTTCATGATCTCAAAATTATTGCTGCATCAATGGGAATAGTGCAACATACTTGTCTTTTGGTCGGATGCTTTACAGTAAGACATTTAACAGCTCAGCCACATACTTTTTAATGAAGGTAGAATAATAATTATGATCTTTTATTTTAGGAGAACCCGGCCTTGTTTCTGCCGCATATGTTTGCTCATCTTTTAATGGTTGTAGCCAAAACGTTAAATGCTTTGATTATTATAACCAGAATGAATTTAAAATCAGTAATACAATTAAGAACATTATCAACAGCCATTGCTTTTATGATGTTCAACTGGTGCCAAGAATTTTGTGTTTTTATACAATACCTATGTTTTTGTGATCTCTAATGTATTAATGTCTACTTTTGCCTGTATGACTTCATTTAAAAGGGGACTTGGTATATTCAAGCCTTTAAATCAGGCGTCGACAAAAGTCCTATTGTCATAAGTCGAAACTAAGAACATCAAAGGTAAAGAATGTACGCTTGCTCCTAAAAGACTTTCCTGATAATTGCTTCTAGAAATGTAATTGAGTTTATTTAGTAAATTTTGATATCAAGTACTATTTAAGTCTTTCATATTCTGTATTGACAAATAAATATGTTAAACAGATAATTTTTATTTCTTCATTAGCCAATTTAAAATAACTAGTATAAAAGAATCACCATCATAATCACCAAAACTTAACGACATATCTGTAGCTTGTAAAAAGTTTTGATGCATTGCTACAGCATGCACATTTAAAAAAGGAAACAATATTACTTTGACATTGAAATACATTGTCAAGGCGAAGCGTAAGCGAGCGTCCATATGATAATGATCCAATTCAATTAAACATTATTTCTCAACAACATTTATGATGAAAGACAAAATTTGAAAGTCATGGTAACTAGCTGATCATTCTCCTTTACAATATGGAGAATGTAAGCTGTACTCTGTTAGATAAACTGAAATTGAAACACAGTGAAAAGGAAAACAGTAAGGTGGGTACGTCTATCTTTCAAATCCACCAAAAACTCCATCAGCATCCAGCACATTTTCAGTTCTTTCCATCATCAAACCTGTTGTCTTCTGATATGATTGTGACATTGATATTACAGACATTTGTTTCATTATAACTATACCTAAAATAATGAATTTCTAAACAGTTAAACAAAGAAAACGAAGAGGAATCTGCAGTAGGGGTTCGTACAAAGCTGCGTGCACTTATGGTTGCACTGTTCGGAATATCAATGTCACTGTGTGCAATAGCATCACAGCCAGTTGAACTTGAATTGGAAGATGATGAAGTAGCACAGAGATTGAACAATGTGACGTTCGCGAGGAGGTACGTGTAGTTTCATTATAAACTCCACAAATAATGCGGTAATAGACTGGCTAGTGACCGTTCCTTTGATTTTAAGTAACGATGAGATAGAATGTAAGGTACCGAATAGTTTAGGTAATTTCTCATATACTAACCACGAAAAATATCAAGAATGTCATGGAAGTTTAAAGATATTTTTCTTTACAGGATTGCAAAGCCTACGATTCGTCTGGTTATCGGCTACGGGACTTTGAGTGCTACTGTCACTGCTGTGACCTCTTTGCTGTTACTAATTGCAGTTATGTCAAGGGTAAAACTTATTAAAAAAAACAAACTACCTACTTGCAATATTCGTTTGCTGTTATTCCCTGGTGATAAGAAATTATTATTTTCGATTAAAAAGATCGTTCCATTGAGAATTAGGGACTAAACAGCTTGAGCGAATTTGGAAATTTTAAGTTTATTTTGTTTTTGCCTGTAGGAGAGAGTTTTTCAATTATTTATTCCTCGTTTCAGAAATCTTGGTGGCAACGTGGTGCCCGATGGTTGGCCGCGCCAGCCCTTCTTGTAGCTGCGTTAGAGGCGGCCTCAGACGCGAGCGACGCCCTACTTGTCACTATACTGCGAAGCTCTGAAGCCCCGATTAGACTTTTCCTACAATCCCTAGCAGCTTGCGCACTCATTACGACCGAAATATTAATCTGGTTGGTATTTTAAACTATTTATATATTAATTCTTAAGAAAAGTTCTGCGCCTTCATGTTAAGGCATTAAGCGTCCGTTTTTCTATTTTTGTGCCAGATTTTTTTAAATTTGCTTTTTGTTTTTTTTTTTTAATCGGGTTGTAAATATATTCTTGATCCTCGGTGAAAACTTAACTTAGTAAAGGTAAAATTGGAAAGCAGTCCGGTAGTTGAGTTTATTCAAATGCAAAAATACAAATCTTTCCTCTTTATTAGTATAGATTAACGGTATAGCTGAGATTTTTTTTCATTTACAGGTACTTCATAGCGAAATTTTTTGAATACAATCCAACGGTAGTGGTCCCGGCGGAGAAATTAAAAGGTAAAGATAACTAGAGGGAAAACTCTGATAATTGTTACATACATTACATATTCACTGTTAAGAATATCAGTATTCATCGCTTTTAATAAATATCTTTTAACTATTGTAATCCTAGTGTTTTCTTAAACCCACTATATTCGCCGAGTTCTGTCAATTTAAACTGAAAAGTACGACTGTTCAGTTAAAATTGTGCGTGTAGGCAAAACTAACTGTAGTTATCAGCTAGATAAAATTTTGTCTACATTTCAAGTTTCAGGTTTTGTAAAGCTACAGCTGCATTATTTTTATAGCCGTAAAAAGAACATAGCAATCACCACACAAATAAGTTTTGCTCATCACTAAGTTTGTACAAAGGTAACAATGTTTTTGTAGACAGTTCCCCGTCGATCTTTTGATTTTAAATAAAACACATTTTTTTAATAAATAAGATTTATTAAAATGAACATAAATCCCATAATTCTACATAATAGGCACATTGCATTTCAAAGCATTTTGAAGGCACTAAGGTTACAAATGTTATAAAATCACAGTGCACTTAGACTACTATCTTAACCGTGCATTTCCACTGCCGAAAAATGTATACAAAAACATATCTCTTATTCTCTTTGAAAAATGTGAGATAGGAATACTTACTACCTTATGGATGTTTTGATAATAAATACTCACCTTTAAATAATGTACTTAGTTGTCTCATTTACACTCGCGGCGTTTAAATATTTATAAAAATAGCAAGCGAACATTTTCGCCCCTATCGACATTAACAATGAAATCTTACGATTATATTCTTGAATAATTTTTTTGCATCTTTCGTAAGCCAAATACATTTAGAATACAGAAAATAGCGCTCCGAGTACAAATGACACTTTTTACTTAAATAGGGTATATAAAATGTATATAAGTATAATAAATAACTGGCCTCATTGTTTGATATGTTTCGTAAAGTTTACGTTCCATAAACATGCATAATTTTATTCTAGATTACGTAATATTTGGCTTAAATATTTCAAAACAGGAACATAAAATAATTTTGGTATTTTTAGTGATTTTAGCATAGCTTTTGGTTATTCGTTTATACGAATGTCTTACGAAAGAATTAAAATCCTTAATTCGATAGTGTCCAGTGTGACTAACGACTAATTAAAAAAAATTACTGAACTACTTTAGAGAAAAATACGTGAGATTTTGCTTATGGTGTGTCGGTAACATATATTTTTTTAATACAAAAATCATTACCGAATTAATGGTTAAATACAGTAAAATACATATTATATGTGCATGAAATATTAAAAAAACTTGGGGCCTATCCCACCACGGGCTGATAGAGGCTCCGATAGCTTAAAAATGACGTCACTGTCAGATAATGTAACAACATCCGATATTTGACACATTGGATTGTTATCAGACAATTTACAATTCGGTGGGACAGGCCCTTATCCAATTTAATCAACATTGTACTCAATTTAATGTTGCTGTAAGATATTATGTATTTCTATGATTGATGAGATTCTGTGATTTTCAAAACGTTATGTAAAAATAATTACCCAAAACGAACCCCCGTGCATATATTGCATATGATTTGCTTTTTAGCAGGATATCGTAATTCTCTATTCCAAATTTCGCGATTCACCCAATCTAACAATTGATCTTTTAAATGTAGAATTGTATGACTTCGAACGACGCCATCTTGGAAGAATTCTTTCAGAATAATAACAATACCATTATCATTATCCCTGCTCGGATCACCTAAAGGCCTTTCATGTTTCAAATAATTGAAAACAAATTTAACAATTTGCACAATCAAATCTTCTTCAGGGCTCAAAAGTTTTAATCTAGCAATGTCTTCGGGAAGCAATTTCGATAGTATATTAAGACAGATCGTCATTAAATTAGCATAAACCTCTTGACTTAAATCTTCAAGTAACCTGGAAATATCTTCAGCACCTGTTGCACTAACTCGTACTAAATAAATACCTATTCGTATAACCTCACCGGGATGAATTCCAACAAGAAAACCATTTTCTTCCGTAGAATTGCCATTTTGTACCAAAGAGAAAGTAGGTGTAAGTTTAGTTGGTACGTTTTTAGTGGTAACATTAGCTGGGCCTAGATTATTAAAAAGTTCCGATCTCACTTCCTTACCCATATTAGATAGTTCCCCTGGATTAAATTTGTGCTGTGCGTTTAAATTTACTTGACCATCTGATGTCATTGATATTCTTAATTTATGTTGATTAACATCTTTGTTAATCCGAAGTACGTCAGCAAAGAATTGATCTTTGTTAGCGATTGTTTTAATACCTTGGATCACTTCAGCGTTACCTTGAATAGTTCCTTGTACTCTTCTGGATTCGGCGCTGATTTTATCGAATATTTTTCTAAAAAGAACAAAACAAATACTGCATAATACTGAATCCTAGACGTTGATTTGTTAAAAAGTTTGTTTAATAGACATTCCATAAACTTCCAAGTTGACCATAGACAATACAAGCTACCACGGACGGACCAGATCTAAGCAGATTTGTTATCTATTCTCTATACTAATATTATAAAGAGGAAAGATTTGTATTTTCGTATGTATTGAAATAACTCAAAACTACTAGGCCAAAAATTCCATCACCATTAAAAAGCTACCTTATCAGTGAGTAACATAGTCTACATTATTTAAATATTTTTAATACCATGTGGACGATTCGCGAGCAGCTAGTAGCAAATAAAATTGTATTTTATGTGATCGAAAAATGGTGTTTTCAATCCTATCAAACGTCAATTTTATTTGTGATAAAAATCTACTCCGATCTGTGTGAACGGAGCCTTAAACTGACCTGTGTCTGTTGCTCCTGAGCGTAGTTCTGTATTCATTGATGGTGCTGGTCTGCGCATCCTCTATGATGTTCTGTGCTGTGCGGTTCGACATCACGCCGTGAGAGAAGAACAAGATGGCAGCAGAGAATTGGAACAGCTCCAACTTATTTGGCGTCTCGCCGTGTTTCCGGTACTGTGGACAATTACCATAATATTGCAAATGAGATAAATATAATAGTTTTATTAAAAACTAAAGTTATTCTGACTTTTTAAATATTATAAATGAGAAAGTTTAGATGGATGGATGGATGTTTTTTTAGAGTTTGTAGCCTAAACAGCTAAACGGATCTAGAAAAAATTTGGTATACATATATACGATAGTCTGGAAAGACACAAGACAAGTCAAGATAATATTATAAAAACTAAAACCGTTATTTCCTGACAGAAGACTAAAAACCACTTTTTAACATTAAACTTTCCTGTATATTCCATAATGTATCGGTCCTGGTTTTATAACTTACTTTGAGCATCATACCGAGCAGACTGTTGGCGACGCCGACGCCGCCAGTGAACATGTTGGCGTGACGAAGTAAGTCCACAGATATAGTCAGTGCCTGACCGGTCTGTAAAAACAAATTAATAAAATGATAACGATGCTGTAATATGAAGTGGAAATAAGGTTTAATGGTTTTTTCTCTTGACGGCTACACCTAAAACTGTGTTCTGTGCACCTCTCGTGAAATAGCCGCGAAGATATATCAAAACTACTATAACATGTACAAGTAAATTGAAAAAATTGCAAATTAATAGTTCTAGTGTAAAATAAAAAGAAACATCAAATGGGACCATAAACAGACATTCTATGTTTCAATTTATTTTGCTCAACAGCTACTAATCAAGGACGTAAAAAATGGAAACTAGCAATGGCCTATCACATAAGTAAAATTAAAAAATATATATATATTTGTATTAGAATATTGACCTTGGTGAGATTGGTGCCGGCGGCGGCGGAGCGCGACAGCAGGCCGGCGGCGGCGCTGGCGGCCAAGCCCACGCTAGACGCTGCGATATTGATCCAACTACCGCGCGCCTCCGCGTCCGTCGGACTGATCGTCTACAAAGTATATTATAAATAAATCAAAAGCAAATGATGATAAAAAAACTTAAGCACTGGTAATTCAGAAAGCTCTGTATGGTATATATTTTTTTCTATCATAATAATTGTCTTATTTTCCATTCAGAAAATCTGTAAAACAATTTTAACTTTAACATTTTAACATTTTGACCTGTAAAAAATAACTTTTACCAATAAAATAAAAAAATAAACGACTACTTAGAAATATCTATTACAATCATCATCATCAAGACCTCAATTGCCCCAAAAGAGGTTACTACTTGCAATACAACTTTGTTAACTATTGTTAACCATGTTGCATTGCCAAGTTGCATCACAATGTTTTCTTTTACCGTAAAACCGTCTGATAAATGTATTTATTACATAATGTAATCTTTCTAATATCAAAAATACTAGTTTTGATGGATGGATGGATGTTTGTTAGAGTTTGTAGCCTAAACTGCTGAATGGATCTCGAAATAGCATAGATGTAGAGGGTAGTCTGGAAGAACACATTTGCAACTGTTTTTTTTTAATTCCACGCGGATGGAGTCGCGGGCGAAATCTATTTGAAATATATAACGCAAAACTAAAAGAAAATACGCCCAACATAAAATTATCTATAGCTAATCAATTATTATTAGTGTGTTAAAGGACATTTCTTATCAATAAATTAACAAGGATGTTTGTTGGTTAGGGTTATCTTTTTATCACCAACTATCAGTTGAAAGATAACAGTGCCCAATACTTATCTCTTATTTATATTTTTAGAACATAACTATACTAAAAAACCATATGATAGTAGAGTCCTGTTTATGTCTATTCTACCCTATAATAGTATTTTTTTTAATAACATAAGGTGGCAAACGAGCAAGCGGCCACCTGAATCCACCAAAATGGCGAAGCGACCGCTGCCCATAGACATCCGCAATGGCAGATGCGTTGCCTACCCTTATCCAATGGAGGAGACGCACATAAAGAGGATATTTCCCCTTCCTATGCATCTCCACCGTCAAATCCACTTCCCCTTCCCATTCTCTCCTTATAAGAAAAGGGTGTAAAGAGAAATTGATTTAAATTCCGGCACCAAGTATAATAGTAAAGCTGAAATAAAAATCATACCTGTTCATGTGTCCGTCTATCATATAAATCTAAAGAGGAACGGAAAAGGCCATAAACTCCAGTTGCCACCGTAGCCACAGTAGCACCGATTATAACAGCTGGTCCAATAGGAGTGAGCACCGCAGCTCCTAACACACTAACAGCTCCCAAAGTGGCCACAGTGCTCGCTGTGTCAACTGAACTTAATACTTTTGCTTTAATACCGAGGGCTGGTGATGGTGCTACTGTTAGTTTCACAGCAATTCCTTCATTCTAAAATATAATAACAAATTTCAATAATTACTATTGTTCATCAATGGTGTGAAATAAAATTTGTTGGATCTTGTTAATTGTGAAGTCAAAAAGTTTATATAGTGTCCCAGCATAAGTTTTTAAAAATATTATAAATGCGTAAGTATGGATTGATGGATGTGTTACTCAATTTATATAAGTCTGGAAGAACACAAAGGTTACTTACCTACTTTTTTAAAAAAAAATCTAGTGAAACATTAACAGTTATTGCTAAATGAATTAATTTCACTTATATCTTCTACTCCGTTATAACAAATTTTTTTACTAATTATTTTGTTTCTAATAACTTAAAAGTCATAGATAATGATAGTCTCATATCATGAGAAATACAAAAATATAGCACAAGTCATACCTCAATAATGATTCCCCCATATTCACCATTTTCCGGAACTATTATGACACATTTTGGCAGTGTGTTATTTTTCAAATATGAATCCCAATCTTGGTACACTCTGGCATTATCATCTATGAACACTTTACATGGTTTTGCTGAAATAATGGTTGCATTTTTCTTGAATTATTACTTAGTAATTTATTAAATAAACTTGTATAAAATGAACAAATTTGGAGAATTGGTGATCACATAAACAAAAAAATATTAAGATAGAATGTGGCTACAAAGAAAGACAAAGATCAAAGAAAGTATGGATGCATTACGAAAGATTTGCGTGAGGGAATGAATTTAAATATAATGGCTGATAGGAATACATGTAGGAGTAGTACCTCCGTGCCAACCCTCTATAGGGTTAAGAGCAAGTTGAAGATTTATAATACCCACTTTTAATTTGAAAACATACCATTGACAGTTGTTGGTATACATTTCCTAATTCTGAAAACAGCTGTACACCATATATCAATATCATTCCTCTGATGCAAGTCCAGCCAATGGTTTGATGGTTCAAGTTGGAAAAATTTCACTGGTTTAGGCTTCGCACATACAATTAAAAGTATTGACATAAAAATATCTTCATCGTTCTGTGAATATTTACCTGCAATTAATTGTTTTGTAAATACAAGCACAATTGATGAATTTTATAATTATGAACACAAATTCCTCTTATATATTTTATTAAATAGCTTTTCTTTACAAACTATAGAAAGAAAATGATTATTAGACTGTACTTTTAAAATAGCAATTAGAATTTATGCTTATAATTTATATAGAGAAACACTTGCTGTTTGGGTAAAAATTTAATTTAATATTTTTATGTACTATGATGTAATTTTCTGTTACATAAGGCTTAATACTTACTTTGCTCACATATTTTATCATGTATTTTGATTACTTGTTCTCTCTCCCTGGATGTATAACCTTCCAATTGCACATCTCTATCATTTAATAAATCTCCTTCAAAACTTGGCCCACCAAATAGAGCAAATGCTATATTTTGCAAAAGTTGATTTCTGTTACTTTTTTCATATCTGTAATAACATAGTAATAACTAAATGAATGGCCTTGTCACCCCTAAACCAGGGTAGATTCCAAACCCCTAAGTGGAAATGTAGTGAGCTGATGATGATGATGATAAATAACTAAGCACTATTTTCCAACAGGTTTATATATTTTTTTTATTAATAATTTTAATCATCAATCAACACAGTATTTGAAGACTTGACATTAAAACTTACATAATTACCTTATCTAATTTTAGATTTATCAACATGGTAACTGAATGTTAATTATATTGATTTTACCCTAAACCATTTTTACAATTATATGCATGTGTACAAGGCATAAAACTCTAAAACTAAAAGAATTAATGGAGGTGTCAATACATTGTGTCTTTGTAAGTTTCGTGTTAGTGGAATTATAAAAAGTTATTTAGCACATATACTATTACGTATATAATTTTAAATTAAATTGTTTACTTACTTGACCCAATCACAATCCGGTAAGTTTTCATAATATTCCTGCTGTATTTGTACAGGAGATAATCTTACTTCTACGTTTTCTGTTTGCGCATTTTCAGTTAAAACACCATTTTCTGATTCCATTTCCCGAGTCAAATTAAGACGCAAATTGGGAAAATTAATATCATTTTCCATTGCACCAATTTATACGTACATACAAGTATTCAATAAAGTGATGAAACATGAAAAGTGGAAAATTGTTATGACAAATTGATTCAACAAACAATAGAGAATGACGACATTGACGTTGAATGTAAAGTATTGCCAGTCCCGAAATTAAAAATTACCTAAATAACGTCAAAAATTAGCTCTTTTTCACTTTTAAGGGTTATTCGTTATTTGTAGGAATTTTTAAGGTAAAAAGTAAGTAAATACGAAGGAAAACATTAAACGTTCCATTTGTTTATGTGGTATAAATTTATTAACTCGTTAAGAGAAATTTACCATATATTTTGGTAAAATACTTACTTAGGGGTAATGGTTCATCCACGCTTGTCTATGATAGGGGATGTTTGGTGAAGTCTGGCCTGGTACAGTCAAACAAGGATATCTGATCCGGCGAGGCGCTGCTGTCGCGTTTAGTCACTCATAAAATGTAAAAAACCTAGATAAGCATAGAAATAACATAACAAAAACATAACACGACAGCTACAGTATCCTCTATACACTAGTATCCTCGCCACAGTTACCCGAAAACACTCCGAACTATCTTACGACCAAACGATCATATCAGAAAAAAGACGAAAATTTGCTATTTGTTATATAAAACCTCACTCTGATTTCGCAAGGAAGTCATATTCAATCCTAGGTAATATTCTTTATAATAGTGCAAACAAAATATTAAACATATATCCATTGACTAAAAGGTTGTGTAGGGCAAAAGTTTCCAAATGGTTAGAAGATTTAAATTATGAACAAACTGAGAACATCCTATCAAAAATGATTAATAACTAGCTATTGTTTGCAATTTCGTTCCGTGAAATTAAGGATTTAAAAAAGATATAAAAAAAAAAGTACAAAAATGCATATCTTTCCTCTTTATTATATTAGATTAGATATAACATTCAAAATATTAAAAATGATAATCCTAATGACACTATGTATTCACATCACACACTACCCACTGACACTTCACGTTTACCTAATTTTAATTTTGTTCTTTAATATATATTAAAAAAAAATGCTTGTTTTGTTACAGTTAATTAATAATGTTCTTTATTTTGTATTTTATATGTATGATTATTGGTCTGTGGGGCGGGGGCCTGGTGATCCATTACACAGGGCGCGACCCTAGTTTGGACACCAGTCCCCCCGCCAAAGGGGAAAATTAATAAAGTTATTTTATTTTATTTTTATTTACAGTATAATAATGATCTAAGAATTGACAGGAGGGCATTATTGAGCTGTTATGATATAGTTTAATTTATACCTACCTGGTGATATGTCCTTGTCGGTCTATACCGTGAACTAAAAAAAGGGCAAATGGCAATGCAATCTCAATTGCAATCTGTCTATTTTTTTTAATTAATGAGTCTGATGGCAATATTGACGTAAATAGTACAGGAATTATACACCATTCGCGACAGTAACTTTCAAAGATTCACCGTTAAAAAGAATCTAGTTGTACAATATATCAAGGTAATGTCTAACCGTGGGTTTTTATTGCCAATCAACAAAAAATGTAGTATGATTTTATGTGTACAATGTTGTATTTTTGTCAATGAGAGGGAGTTGCTGAGTGATAGTCTTGATAGATTTTAAAATAAAAGAAATACTTATGCGTGTGCCGTTCACAGCTAAAGATACACTTTTATTCTAATTTAACAACATAATTACAACAATCAACAAAACAATAACACGAAATTGTAACTATGTACATGTCGACGCTACGTCAAAATATGGTTTTAACATGTTTTCGTCGTAAATTTTGACGCCTTCATCATTATAATTTAGGGCTTCACAGATTCTGCAGTAATGTTGAGATTTAGATCCGAAATATCCGTGTTCATTAATAACTTTAAAATGTCTACGCCACTCGTGATACAGGAGTAGTCTTGGCAAATCTTTGCTAATATTTATTATGTCCATTGCAAGTTCCTCTACCGTGTCATAGTTATCAACATGTAGAAATGAATCCGGTGGCAAGAGTGTTTCACATTCTTGTACCGTTGGACCCATGATCACTGGGATAGCGCCTTTAGAATATGCGTGATAAAATGCTTTCTCAGTCAAATATTCTTGGCATTTAGAGTTTTCAAATACTAAGTAAAATAAATATTCAGATATTATTGGACAATCTGCTCGAAAATGTCCCGGACAGCTGGAAAAATACAATTTTATATTAGGCATAAAGCTTGCAATAAGAATATATATTCAGTAAATCATAGTATGAATAGAGGGGTCTTATAAAGGATTTCGATAAAACATCAGACTCAAATAATGAGGCTATTATTTTATTCTATATTTAAAAACTAAGCAATACGCCTATACCTATTTTTATGATTTTCTGAACAAGATCCATGCACGTCTAGATTAAGATGTTTCTTTAATTCATTCACATAATTCATTCTATATGAAACACCACAATGCGATATTAAAATCGCCGCTAAAACATCTTGTCGTTTCTTACTCCAGTTAGGTATGATATCATTTATTGGTTTCTCGGCCATTGCTTCGAGTGATTCTAACAACGGTATAGTCCTTCCATATGGTACTGGCACATCGGATTCTGATCTGAAATAAATATTAAAGAAAAAATAATAAAGGCGAGAAAGGTCTGTTCTTGAAATTTTAAAATTTTCAGCGAAAATCTTACTCTTTTCTTAAGATGTTTCTAAAAGCACCTTTAAAACTAATATATATGGTTTGTTGATTGTTGTAATTTAGTTGTTACTGCTAAAGAGGTTACTTGTTTTTCTTTTAATCTCAACGAGTATTTATGTTAAACTTTACAAACCTATACGTCATTGACCAATTAAAGGTATTCACTATATCTTGCAGCTTTATCCGACGCTCCGATTGAAAGAAAGCGTTTACCGGTGATTCATCGCTGAGGAATATCCATCTTTGGCGTGGATTTCGTTTCTTTGTGTTATTTGGAAATAATCCATGTTGTACGTGAACAACTACAGCATCCGCTGTATCGAAATCTCGATCATTCTTAGGAAATACACAATTCTTGACACTGCAACCTTCTAATGAGATATCTTTCCTGTAATCAATTAAGGATTTTTTTCTTCTATATCTCTGATATATCTTTCCATATCCACAAGTGATAATTTCTCTTAATCGCTTCCAACATCTATTAAAAAAACTAAAGAAGTTAATTCTTATTTAAATGCTAAATCGCCCTTTTGTATGGGCCTAGGTTGTATTAGCGCTACTAGTGAGATTTCTACGACACCCCCTTTTTAGTCATTTTGGTTATGTGATACCGAGTGATTCACAGACATGTGGCACTACTTTCTGTCCTGAGCCATCGCACAACTGAGCCTTATTCAACATGTTATAAAGCACTTTTCAGTATATTACAAAGTACACTATAGTCTTACCCTAAAGAAGACCCTGTCTATGCTCACCACTAAAGGCAAAACCGTTTGAGTGTTTACAAAGATGTACTACTATGTTAGTTTGTTACTTCTCTTTAATGTCGTAGAAAATATGATGATGCTTATCAAAGTATGTTTTATTCGTACAATGTTTTTAGTGAATAAAGTTACTTACTGAGATGCACCAAAACTATACATATGGCGATGTTGAAGCCAGTTCCAGTATTTCCAAATCACAATTGTAAACGTTCTCTTTTCGGTATCTTTCCTTCTATATACATTTACGTCAGCATTCTTAAATAATATTGATCCTAAATTTGATGTTCTCCATTCCTAGAAGAATGTAAAAAATTTTAGCTAAAAATATATATTAATTATTTTTACTTCGACTGAAATGAACGTCATAGTTTTATTAGGTCTTTGTAATCTTTTTATCCCATAATTTGTTCAGACAAGATAAGTTTCTTAATTGCGTTTACTTTTACCAACTCAATGACATACATATAATTTTCTTAATAACTTTTACTATGAATTATTTTTTTTAAAAAGTTTCAATTATTTTCATTCACAAAATGTGTGCCCTTATCCTGTAACAGTTCCTCTAGAGATGAGGGTTTCCACTTTGCATTTTCACCGATTTATTTATTTTAGTTTTTTATTTTTTTATAGTTTTTTCAACATCATCATAACGAAATATAGGCTGATTTTAGCCGTGTAATTGAATTTGGTGAAAATTTCATAACTGATACAGTTTCGCTACTTATTATAATTTGTTTACTAAATCTGGATATTTTTATTCTTTTTATTTGTTATAATAACAATCACTTACCCTTCTTCTATTAAAATACGAATTAACAATCTTCTCGTGATACTTAACTTCATCAAACGGGCTTATATTTTCTAGATTCGAATCGTCTTTACTTTCGCCTAAATCATTTGATTCTTTATAAATACTGTATTGGTAAATAACTATGGATATACTAAAAAATATTACAAATACAATATACTTGTTCAAAGCTAAACGCTTCAGGAGAAACACACAAGTTCTGTTCTTCATTTCTATTACTTAAATTCATGTTTTTCACGTACACATTTTTAGAAAGGAGCACTTTAATTTGAACACGGTATGTTTCTGTATCACGGTTTTATCAATGATAAACACAACGCGATATAACGACACGGTAACGCTATGTTGTGTCAATAACAATTACAAATATCCATTTAGGTACCGGCCTTTGAAGATAACGATAAATAGCATTCTCATACACCTGGTGTAAAGCGAGTACAGCGGACAAGAGCGATGACAGACTGAACGCGGAATTAACTTACGCTATTGAATATTCTGTTCAACTAATCAACAATGTTTTAATGTCATCCAATGAAACAATAGCTTCAAAAGTTGACACAAGTACGGATAATTGTACAGGATGTTTAAAAGTATGTATGCTTTTAAATACCGCGTAAACTTTGTGAACTGAACAATCCGGAATTGTCAGACTGTTGGAAATAATTGAAAGCTTCTATCAAAAGTACTATATCAATAAAATTGTTTTAAAGGCTGCTAAAACTGTACGTGGAAAATATATCACGGGAACTCTATTTGCTGAAATCATATTTAATACTTTTTTAGAAAATCGTATGTTTGGACATCCTGTATCTTGTTCCGTGATCACAATCATCAAACGTGATATGTCAACACGGTGTGAGTAATTGTGACCGGACAATGGGGATATCTACTGAAAGTTGTGGAAATCAAGAAACTGGAGGAATAAATAAAACAAACTCATCTCAAAGCCTGTATTGCAAATTTTAACGAAATTTTGGACGATATTTGACCAAAAATTAGATCTCTTAATCTTTGTCTAGTGATAAAAATTGCTTAATTGCATGGTCTTATCCTGACAGGACTTTAAGAATGACGGTTTTTTATTATCTTAATTCCTCATCAAACATGTGGTGTTAACTTGACATACATTTTTAAAATGAAATGTTTATGTAGAGATATAAAATGTATTACAAACAAAAATTTTAGATATAGGTATAGTAGACATATATTTAGTGAATGACAATGGTCGAATAATTTTATTTAGACACTTCTGACCGTGTAACCGTGACATACATTTCATTGTTTTTTATCCGATATACTCACCAAGGCCATTTAAAAAACATGTTAAAAAATGTTTCGATTTAAAAAAAAACAATCGAATAATTAGAATAATCAAGTTTCCGTTGCTAAAGTCACTAAAACCGTAGAGCAGGTTCATTTGAAAACGTTGGAAATGCAAGTCGATAATAATCATTGATTAATGTGATTTTCTCTCGAACCTAACTACGTCTACTTATAATGAACTCGATATACATGAAGTATGCTATCAAGTGACAAAATATTTGAAATTCTGCTTTAAAAATTTAATAAATCAATAATAAATATTGGGTTCTGTTGGGTTTTACTGCTGTCTAGAAATATTGTTATTTATACATATATTTTTTTTAATGATAACTCTAATTGGGATGGCCATATCTTCTTAAGAATTTCAGAAATGCAACGGTAAACTGCCGCTAGTTGGATTTTTGAACTTGCAATGTGCAATGCGCGGCTTCAGCTGATGCGGCAGTCTTAACTCATGAATTTTAATAGAGATTCACGGGGATTTAGGTTTCAAGTTAATTAAGATTCATATTATGTCGGCAGTAAATCTTGTACGGCTAATGTGCACGGATTCAGATAAGATAACAAAGCTCAAATCTGCATTGCAAATGCACTTCTATGCATTGCTCTAGGCACTATACGGAGTGCATGGTTGTTTAAACTTTACAGATATGATACGATACAATATTATATTATACGATACTTTACGTTGATATTCTATTACGTAGATTTCTATATTCTATTTTAATAACAATACTCTGTATCTACATTCAAACCACGACATCAATTCATTCAATAACATTTGCAGAACCTGTGGAATAACGATATATTTAGTAATTTAAATATACACTAGCTGTTGCTCGTGACTTAGTCCGCGTGAAATTACAAATAATAATAAAAATATAGCTATGTTACTCGCTGATAACGTAGCTTTTTAATGTTGTAAGAATTTTTAAAATCGTTCCAGTAGTTTTAGAATTAAAAATACATACAAAAATACAAATCTTTCCTCTTTACAACATGCGTATGATATATGTAGATTATTAAGCAATAAGATACATCAAATAATAAAAGTAGCTTCTTATTACAATATATACGATATTTTTCGACTTGTTGAAGGCATCAGATGTTTGCGCGTTATTACAGCCCTTTTCATCTGCGTAACATTTAATAAAAATGTTTCATTATTACGTCGTGATATAATGTTACGTAAGAAATTGTATTCTGTTTACTACGGGCTTCCACTACCGGAATACTTGTATAAAAACTATTGTCATTACACTCATTATCTGTAAATAAAACAAAGACAACATTATGTTTTAGTACAATACTATTCAGGCACACACAGGAGCATTATTTTTAGTTGACATAATTTTTTTTTACCTAAAAACTGTTTCAAGGGTGGCACGAAAAGTGTACGTACACCTGAAACCAAACTAGCGCACAACTGTTGGGTGATTATCGATTGTCGATTGTTTCGCAGCCAATTTAATTATTTAGTCGTACAACTAAAAATCGATGGTGTGTGCACCTTCATACAAGCTCATAAGAATCAATACGAGATTAAATAATTGTGCGATCGTTTAGTTTCAGGTGTACGTACGCTCTTATTATGTACTAAACTGAGGTAATAACAAAAGCATATCACTCGCAGAAACATAGTGTGTGTAAAATACATTTGCATTTTGCTATATACATGCCGTAAGCCTAATTTCCGTTCTTACCTCATTTACATTTTATTATCTATACTTATTCGTAAAAGTAGACATTGCACTTGTATACCGTGCTAATTTTATTCTTCTTGAAATTAGGTTATTTCAAAGTTGAAAGGATAGAAGAATGGTCGTATGCCTGTTAGAGTTTGTAGCCAAATTTGGCACAGATGTATAAGAGAGTCTGGGAGAATTTTTTTTCTTCAATTTCACGGGGAAAGCGTCAAGGTATAAAGCTAGTATTAAAAGATAAAAACTTTCATAACCATAAACTTTGACACAAATACATCTTATAGAGTAGCTGTTGCCCGCGACTTGGTCCACACATTATTAAGAAAAACAAGTAGCCTATAATATGCCCGTCTATGTTAGCTACCCTTCGGTGAAAGTCCGGTGGAAAGCGGCCCAGCCGTTTCGGAGATTATCCATATCAAAACGCGGCTTGCAGACAGACAAAAAATTATTTGATATTTCAAACAGACACTCCAATTTTATTATATGTACAGATAACTTGCTTATTATCGTTACGTAACATTGTAAATATTTTGTCCTTTAATTATTCTGAATATCCTTATATTATGCAGCAGAGTTGCTAAATTTACTGGCTGTTACAGTATTTAGGTTTAAATGTTAATAAATGGGTGTTGTAAATCATAGCGTTCTCTTGGGAACTACTATACTATAATATGCGGGAATATATAGTTTGAGAACGACGGGGGTCTTATTATATTGGTTTGTTTCATACATGTATGTACGAGTATATTCTAGTTATAAATTGTAACGTCACATTACGGCCGAGAAGATATTTAAAAAATACATGTAAAGTGTGTCGTCTTTATTTGTTTTAAAATGTAACATTATTTAAATAATTAATTACTTAACGGCTTACTCACATCATACTTTTATCCGGTGACGGCTGAAAAAAAAGTATGACCGTTAACTAATTAATTATAACATGTCTCACGAAAGTTTAAATAATTTAATTATTTAAATATTTCTGAAAACAATTTCTCTAGAGTTAAACATAACTTTTCGTATAAATGTAATAATAAAATGACTGTGCAGCTTATTACTTTAATGAAGACTAAGTAGAGCTACAAATGAAGTTCGTAAGCCTTTTGTAGACTAAACCAGGTTAATTTTAATACTAACGCTGCTTAAGGCGTTATTTTTCTTTCACGGAGGTGGTTATTTATTTTTTCATTTAGCTGGAATTTTATGAGCACTGTTTTAAGAAAGTTTGTTCTTTTAAAACAAAAGATGGAGGAAATTATATGTAATGAGAAAATTAATTGTATACTAATATTAGCGTGGTAATTAGTTTCAAAATCATTATCATCATCTTCCTACTCCCGTAGTATACACAGACGCAACAGGTTTTTGTCCTCCACATAACTCTATCATACGTCATCTCAGTCATCACTTCCTAATTAATTTCAAAATTCAACTTAAACATTTAGAATAATTTTATATAATAAAATCGTAGAAAAATGTAGAAGGAAATGAAATGAATGTTCTTTCTTGTGAATCTTCCTATTTTATTATGCTCGCAGTTTTCCATTCATGTCGTATTTTAATTACCGTGAACTTTATCTGAGCGAGACATATTTCCCGTTGCTATATAATAATTCCAGAGAACGAGAACATACACTAATGAAGAATCCCACGCCTTGTTATAGAAAAGTTCCATAATTTTAATAAGGTGTATAAAATCTTATGAAAAATAAAACATAAGACTACGAAATTTACATTCCAGTTATAATTAATACAACAGGGTTGGTATTATTAAAAATGTTTATTTTACGAATTCAGTTATAGGAGCAATCTTTATTTTCAATTTGACATAAATGTTTCTCACTTAAAAAATATACAACTTGACGAAGCGATTACATTTTTATTTCTACAGAATTATCTATACTTCAATGTTTTTGAAATTTCATCTTTCTGATAGATAAAAGCGATGTTTTTTTTGGAGTGTATTAATTTAATGTAGTTTTTTGGCTATGTTTCACACATAAAACCTTATCCATAGAGTCTAGACGAAATACATTTAGAAAAGCGATTCAATTTTATCGTGGGTCCTACGTAGTGCACGGGGTGTGGGTGGCAGTTTTAATTAAAACGGCCAGATAAACCTCTCGAACGATGTTTTTACAGACAATCGTATATCGATCCTGTACACTTTCTAAATCGAATCACTGTCTGGAAATCATGTTCTCAGCTATTCGTTAACTATATAATTTAATTAATTCGCAAACGATTTTCAAATGTTTACAAGCAACATCATAAAGTTTATATAATTTCTAGTTAAAATATCAATAATGATGTTTTTAAAATAATATCGTCTCCTCAGGATTGCATACAAAAGTTTCATCTCGATTTATTTTAATCATCTATACAAACATAATAATGCGTAAGCACACACTACTTCGTGGCGTAAGATGGCAGCAGTCTCAGAATATTTTTGAATAATACTCTCTTCAAGGAAAAGCTATTAAACTTATGGGGTAAAAAGAAAAAACCTTCATGTGGTAAAGGGAAGCGAGGTTATTATGGTAACGTTAATTGTGACAT